ACCCCATAAGGCTTAATTCTGATTATATATGAAGTTATAAAATAGATATTAAAATAGTGAGCAATGAACGATTTTGACATTTAGTATAGGGTAAATTATCAAACTAATCACTTATAGGGAATGCATACTGATAGATTACCTTAGATTAATCAACATAAGTTACAGCAAAGTCTTAATCAATCATCCGGGATGCTTATTGAAGATAATAATCCAAGTATTCCATAACTGTCTAACTGTCCTTACTTTTTTAGAGTCTTAAGAGAGAAAGTAAAGAACGAAAAAAAGATAACTGCACCTATAAAAGAAGATTATGCTCAGCTCGTTCTTAAACTAAGACACATCTTCGCAGGAAACTCATGAGAATTCTAGCTTTTTATAAAGAATACTTTAGTAATAGCAGAATGAGTAATCAGCTGATGAATTATTCAATTAGGAACCTAAAAAATTATCTCCAAGTAGATTAATAAAGTCTAAATTAACTATAGCCAAAGAGTAAATGATGAAAATAAGAGCAGATGAATCAGGCAAGTTGCTGAATCGCAGTCTATTGGGGAATTCAGACATATATCATAAAGTAGAATAGAGGCGACAATTAAAGGAAGAAGAGCTTTAATAGTCGAGCAAGAAACACAAAATATCTGACTTCCTAAATTAAAAAAGAAACTATAACATAATTACTACTTATAGCAAGAGGAATTCTACAACTATCCACACTAACTCAAATAAGAATATAAATTAAGGCAATGGCTACAATCATCAAAACCCAAATCCATATTATCAAGGTGCAGAAGCTTTTAATCATTAAAGGAGATCAAGGGATACTAAACCATTTTATGATAGGTACATTAATCAAACTCCTAACTCTGGTTACCTGTCCTTAAACTCACAGTCTAACACTGGAAGAAAAGAAAATGCTGCTAAAAGATTTGAAGATAACTAAAAGCTATGGGATACTACATCCAGTTTTATAAAGGGTAAAATAAGACCAAGTGGAGTATCACTTTTAGATAAACAGAGACATCATGCCATCTAGATCAAAGATGAATAAGAAGCCATTGATCACTAAACTTCAAGAAGAGGACGCAGTGTTGATATGCAGCATTAGCTGAGAAGTTTTTATCAGAATATCAGGGATTCATAGATTTGTTACACTACAGTTTAAACTAAGAACCCTTTCACTATGATATGGGCAACAGATCCATCACCAAGCAGAGTCAAAAGTGGAACTTTCGAACAGAGTTTCATAACATCAACAAAGAATTCTGCCATAGGCAAAAATAGATCTCCATACAGACCAAGTGAGTCTAAGAACAATTATTATCAATAGTGATTTTGAGCAGAAAACCAACTAACTAATCATAACAATCTAAGTTGATTTGATGTATTTATTTATCAGTCTTAATTTATAATTTAAATTTCAAAACTTAAATGGACAACTATACTATCAAGCTCAACGCTACCCACTCCCATCTTAAAATCAGACTAGCTGAGATCAGATTTGACAGAAGAAATACTATTAGACAAGTCAAAGTAATACCAACATTTGTTTATATCTTAAATAGGAAGTACTTGAGAGAAAGTTCGGAACAAATGCTGACGATATGACCATTGAACTCAGAGACTCATCTGATAATTTCCTCTAAGTCTTGCATAATGATCAAGAGACTATCGCTCATTATGGTCCTTAAGAGGGATATACTTTTCACGTATGCTTATTATCCAGTTTTTATTCGATATAAAGGTCATTGATGCTGCTCCAGCAAGCTATGGAGATCTTGACGATGTGAGCTAAGTTGAAAAATATCAGATTAGTGAGGAAGAATACAACAAAAGAGACGATACATTCAGAAAGTTTAAGACCGACATGTAAAAGTAGGATCCAACCTTCATGAAAAAGGCAGGAAACAAGATTCCAGATGATTTCCAAAAGGAAGAAGCTGACCAAGTTTCCGTTGGCCAGAGATGTGAAATAATCATCGGGCAAAGAAGAGGCGAAGTCAAATTCGTTGGGAAAATTCCAGAACTTGCTCCAGGATTTTGGGTAGGAGTTCAACTTGATGAGCCCACTGGAGACTCAGATGGAACAGTTAAGGGAAATAAATATTTCGAAGCTGTAGGCGGAAGCAAATTTGGCGTCATCATCAGACCAAAGGATGCTAGATTCGGAGATTTCCCACCCCTCGACGATTTTGACGAGAACGAAGACGAAATTTGAGTCGATTAACATATTAAGAGTGCGGTTAAATTCATATAAAATTTTCAAATCATTTTACTATGCTTGGACCCTGGGGTTTTGGGGTTTTGGGGTTTTGGGGTTTTGGGG